GTTTTGGCGCCAGTTTTTTGGTGTCTAGAAGAGCAACGGCTCTCTTTCCCGCCAATGTTAGATTCCTAGTTTCCCATTTTACCCCTCTTTAGGACCATTATTTTCTCGGGTTGCCATAGAGGCCCAAACCCACTCGTGCTGAAGCCCCTCAAAAGGCCCTTTTAGGTTCCGCCGCCACGTTGGTTTCGTTTTAGCTGATATATACCCGTCTACAGAAACTGTTTACCCTATATACCTAACTACTGAAATTACATAGTAAAATTATAATTATTGTGTATACCTGTCTTACCAAAATACAGAATCTTACCCACTACTTTTAAGGGGATAAAATTCCTTAAATTTAGGCATAACTATTGAAACGTGCATAGTTAAATATATAATATTGGTAATATTGAAATTTACCTCTTTACTCTTAACATTCTATTCCTCTTCTCCACTAGAAGTCCTTTATTTTTTATCTAACAAGTTTTATATAATCCAAAAACTTCATCAATTGCAATGAAAGATATACCGATCATGATTCAATATGGTGGAGTATGAAAAAGCGATAATTATGTGAATTTTTCTATTAACGGGGTTATTATCGATTTTGGTTGCAAATCGATTTTTTCTATTATGTGACTTTTTTTAAAATTTGAAATACAATAATCAACAAAACATATCATAATATTCTAATTTGGAATATAACATTCAACATAATTACATACTACGATATTCTAATTTGGAATACAATATTCACAAAATTTAATATTCTAATCAATACTACTGTATTCAAATCAAAATTAAAGAAAAATCATAATTCTAACTAACGAAGAATACAGTATTCAACCATAAATAAACACCATACTATTCTAATTTGAAATAAAATATTTAAACTGTACCACAATACTCCAATTTAGAATACACCATTCAACTCTAAGTAAAAACCACAATATTTTAATTTGTAATACAATATTTATATATTTTAGCGCAGTATTCAATTAATACTGCCATTAGTCAAATAATATTCTAAGCAATATATTGTATTCAAACAAAATTAAAGAAAACCCCCTAATATTCCAAAAAGAATACATTATTCAGTCATAAATAAAAACCACAATATTCTAATCGCTAGAGCAAGCAAGCCAATTTCCTCTTCATCTTTTCCTCCACTGTCCGCTAGTTTCTTGTGAAGAATTGATTATGTGATTAAGGAAGAGAATAAATCAGTGCAAGAATTCATGATACGGTGTATTGAGAAAGATACAGTGTTTAATCCCAATTAAATGTTGATTGAAGATATCCTAAAAGAATCTGGGGAGACTATCTAATCCCTTAAAAGGTGGAATATGTATAATGGCATATAATGATATTAAAAATTTAAGAAGTAAATAAAGTTTTATAAAATTGGTATAGAATGTAAAATAAATGGAGTACTTTAAAAGTATATGGAGTTAAGTTGTGTTTTTAATGGGTAGACCACGTAGATATTTGCAAATTAATTTATATACTAATTAACATTGATTGATAACTTGAAAAAGTATAAATATTCTGATATTAAAAACTTAAACTACTTTGATAATGTAAGAATTTTTCACGACATAAATCTTTTTCACAACATATATATAGAAAATGGTAAAATAAGAAAATTAAACTAAGTTCAGTTTAGTAGTGTGGACTGCGGATAGGTAAAAAAGACTATCAGTGGTATATAGCAAAAAAATAAACTCAAGAAGACAAAAAAAAAGTGATAGGCTTCTTTAATAAAACCTTCTTTAATATGTTCAGCAAGTTCAAGCACTGTTGGTTTTCATCCACTTAAAAGTAAATAAACTGAGGCTGATAAAAAACATTGTCCTTATCTTTAAAAAATGAATTGTTCTTCAAAATGCTCAACTTGCTCATTTGAATTATGTCAAGTCAAGTTCCACGCTTAACGATCCTTACATTTATATAAGTTTAAGAGTCAATTTGAAACTCGGTAATAGTTTTAATAAGTCATTTCAGATGTTCATATCCAATTATAAGTTGACAAGCTTTTCTTTAATTGAAATTTAAAATAATATAGATATTTAAAAAAAAGAAGGTGAAATATTGTCCAAACGCGAGTGTCAATTCAGCCTTGTATACCTTTCTATTCGTTTGGATCACATGGCTGTTTTCTCGCTATCGGGCCACAAGCCAATTTTCATAAAGCACTATCTTTTAGTAGTAATTAGTCATCTATATATACCATTTGCTATATTACGGATTATAGATACATTTTGTGTGGTTATAAGATGTATTTGATGTATTTAAGCTATTGTATTCATGAATACAATAGCAAAAATAGGCATGAATCAGGAAAGTCCAACTAATCAGTTGTTGTATTCGAGTATATTCGACTGTATTCATGGAGTGAAACATGGGATTACAGCTGGACAGATTATTGTATTCGACTGTATCCACGGCGTGAAATAGGAGATTACACTGTTTTTAAAACGGAAAGTGAATCAATTAACATAATAGACTCCTAATATAACTCAACAAACTCAATTATAACACATAAATTTTGTATTTTTAGTTATAAAAAAGATTCTCAACCGAAAAATACCCCAAAAATATAGCAATCTTCAGAGAAATTATATAGTAATACATCTTAATACGTAAATTATATTAATTAAAAAAAATATATGAATACATTCATGGCATATAGCGAGACAGTGAATATAATGAAATACATATAATACAGCGGGATACATTGAAATACAATGAAAAAAAAGACAGTGAATACAATGAAATACATGGAATACAACGAGATACATTGAATTGTACTGAAAAAAATGACAATGAATACAATGAAATACATGAAAATACAACGTTATATATTAAAATATATTAACAGAAAATCAAGTTGCTCAGCCCCAAACTCCGTCGTCTTTGTTCAAGAACAAACCCTAATTTCCGGCGAATCCGTCGTCGAGCAACGAAATAATCCACCTAGTATCCGGTCTACTATATCGTCTTCCACTTCGATTGAGGCCTTGTCATCGATTACCATTGAGAAATCTGTGCTTATTGTTTTCTTGATCTCACGTCAAGCAAAGGGATATTCAATCGCTTGAATTGTATGGTATCGTCCACTGAACTGACAAGTTCACGAGGAACTGATGCAACTGAGAATTGCCTGTTTTCAAGGTCGTGTTCTTCTTCGTTCTCAACAGTTTGATCAGTCAAATTGGAATGTGAAAGATCTGAAACTATATGCCCACCGTAGCTGCATAAAAGGCAGACCTTGGTGGTGGAAGTGGGAAGAGGTGGCAGGTCCAAGAGGAAATCCGTGGTGGTAAACGGCGGAGGTGGGTCAATTTAGGCGTTAATGGTGGCGGGGGATCTGGTATGTTAGGGAACAAAGCGTGATAGAGGAAGTATGGGATTTTATTTACACTGAGAAATTTTAATGGGGTGGGGGAAGAGAATGGGATGTATCAAAGTAGAGAGAGAAAGAAAAATAGTGTAACTGATTAGCGTATTTAGTGGCTTAGGGCTAGGAGGTAACCAAAATTAAATATTTTGCTATAAACCTTAAAAGATATTTATAGAATATAATTTTTTTTAAATGGTATTTATTTAAAATAAATAAGGTGTTAACCTTTGCTATATGGGGTAAAAAATCTTTTTATCACCCACACTTATTGACGTAAAAATAGCACGGGCTAGCCAGTTTTTGACCGGTCATTCAAAAATAGCCAGCATTTGCAAAGTAATTGAAAAATAGCCACTATTTTGCTGTAACACGGAAAGTTCCAGCATAATATACTGGAGATCGGTGCACCTGTGTGAACTTCCACCTTATTATGCTGGAACTCGAACACGCGGAAAGTTCTAGTATAATATACCGGAGATTGGAGCAGCGGTGCTCCAATCTCCGGTATATTATGCTGGAACTCCAGTATAATATACTAGAGTTCCAATATATTATACTGGAGTATTTTATCGGATTTTGTACAGTGTTTTCATTCAGATTTATCTTTACATGAAAAGTGGCTAAATTTTGATTACTTTTGAAACTGTAGCTATTTTCGAATGACCACTTGTAAATCTGGCTATTTTTGAATTTCTCCCCTTATTGACCGCATAATCCTAAATGAATAATCAAGCTTATCGTTATCCTTTTCATTTAATTTATTCTTCTCCTAATCAACAAAATTAATGTAAACAAGTTTGTTAAACAGTTAATGACCATTACTGAATTAATCAAGTCTTACTAGGAGATAATACAAAATAAAATGAAACAGGATATTCTTGAGATATGCCCAGTCTGATTAATTTCCATGTTCGCTCCTCCGACATATGCATATAGGACATAGAGGGTGTTTGGCTAAGCTTATAAGCTGGTCAAACTGGCTTATAAGTACTTTTTGGCTTATCTACGCGTCTGGTAAAATTAAAAGTGTTTATAAGTTAAGTGCTTATAAGCCAAAAATAAGCTAAAAGCCATAAGTTGGTCTCCCCCAACTTATCAAATTTCAGCTTATAAGCACTTTAGGTTTGACCAAAATATTTACTATTTTATCCCTAAAATACTTTTTTTTAAAACAAAACTCTTCGTATACCCAGTTCTTCAGCTGCTTATTATTAATTTCAGCACTTTTATCCAAATACGTAACTGCTTATTTTTTAAATCAGCTTCAGCACTTAAAAGTACTTTTCAGCACCTAATGCTTATCAGCTACTCTAAATCAGCTAAGCCAAACGGGCTCATATTCATAATTTAACAAAAAGTTGTTGTGTAAGGACGACACTGGATATAAGAATAACTATCACCAAAGCATATTCTAGTGCAATTACGGGAGTTTCCTACAGAATAAATTTGAATTTAATTCTCAACTATCTT